AGGAGAGAGAGACCAATCCCTGGAGAGAAGGATGGGTTTGAACCACCAGCCTTCTGGTTAGCAGTCAAATGCCTTAGACACTGTACCACCAGAGCTCCTGCTTGGTAAAGTAGAGGGTCAGCAAAAAAGGGGAAGACCCTCAACAAGATGGATTGTCACAAGTGGCTGTGACATTGGGCTCAAGCATGGCAATGATTGTGAGGATGGCATAGGACTGGGCAGTGTGTCATTCTGTTGTACATAAGGTCGCTATGAGTTAGAATCAACTCAATGGCATCCAACAAGAATAGTAACAACAAACCAGATCAGAGAAAGTAGAGGTGTCTTTTCCAAGGTTATATGAATAGTTTACGTTTGGCCAAGACGAGCTTCTGCTCATTCTCTCCTTAATTTGATTGGCTAATCCAAATTAATTATAATATATATTTAAAACAAGCACCTCCTGTAGGCAGAGGTCTTAGGAGATTTACAAGGGTATGTGAATAACCCAGAACAAATCTGTCTTGGAAGAAGAACAACAGCTGGAATGGTCTGGAGAAGCCAGGATGGCCTCGTGTACTTTGGTCATGTTGTCAAGCTGACTTGACAGCACTGAACAACAACATGTATAATGCATGGTCTCTGCCCAGTAGGAGACATAAAACAAGTCAAAAATAATAATAACACCAGGCAGAAGGTAATGAGTTCTCTATAAGTAGTACTAATACAAATGTGATAGCAAGATTATGGGGAAGAGAGAATTTCCTGTAAGAAAGGTATATATTCTCCAAAATATTATTTAACTTATTTTTTTTTAACAACTCCATCACCAACATCCATGTTTAACCATTTTAAAAAATCAGCAATGTAAATGATAGTCCAGGCCCTTTCTGAAATGTGAGAAGTTTAAGAACAGTACAATCTAACTGGAAGTTTTATTGTATAGAGAAAGATACTATTCTTGGTTCATTGAAGCTGCAGCCTTGATTATTACAAGACTGACTTCTCTCCTCTTGGTGAACCAGCACCACTCAGTACCTCTGACCCTCCATATCTTTTCTTACAGTTTGGACTGAGATGTCACCCTCTGCAGACACCTCTGAGGAACCTGAGGAATGGTCAAGCAAAGTCGTCTATTCTGCTTGTGCAGCATCTGAAGAAGAAGAAAAGTCCATCATGGTTAGTAATAACATAGTAAAATTAAAACCCTTGAGACAGTTTTACTGATGAAACAGGGAACATTTAAGAGCAAACATCTCTGTATCCTTGAGGTCATCAGATACATTTCATGGCCAAAGAATTTGAAACAAGTTTCATTGTGAACATTCCGTAAGGACTTCTGTTTTTAAGTCAAACTTGCTTGCACTGTCCATGAAGCCCATTGTCCGTGAAGTTGATGAGATAAATAAAAAATCATTTCAAGTCTCTATCAATTGACCGATTTTTCTGGCACTGAGTTTCACCACTGTTTTTTCCATCTTGGCATGTGAGATAGATTCTGAGCCAAGAAGCTGCAACTAAAAAAAAACAAAATAAAATAAAAAATCAGTTTAGATTCCAGATTGGAAAACATAGGAAATAAACATTACACATTAAAAGCCATTTAATATCATCGGGGGAATATATTTTAGTGGGCTCTCCAATGTGCTAATGATACTATACATGGCATATTAGAGCAAGGAGGTTCCCTGTAAAACTTAAAGGATTTTTTTTTAAAGTGTTTTTTGGAAGAAATAGAACGCCAGTGGGTTATCAGAGGAGAGTTAGGACTGATTAGGATAAATCCTCAATAAAGCCATCGGCTTAGGGAGTGGGAGTGCTCCTTTGTACCGGACTCCCCTCCTCGGTTTCCTTGGTTCAGCTTGGCGGTTCTGATGTTGGTGGAAGAGAGTAATGGCATGGATAATTACAAAGCTGGATAGCACTGACTCTGGTATGCTTTCTTTAAAAAGCAACAAAATGATTTTCTATTTGATCTTCACAATGTGAGTGTGAGAAAGGGCAGGCTTTATTACATCCAGTTTACAGAGGGGGAACCTGAGGCTCAGAAATGGTAAAATGTTTGCCCAGAGTTAATTGTCCAGACCAGCAATTCTCAAAGGTTTTAATGCCAGGAACTTTTTGCATTCTTATACATTGCTGAGAACCCCCAAATCTAACCAATGTCACTGAGCAATTTGTATAGAAATTGTTAAAAGGGAACCTAACTTGCTGTGTAAACTTTCACCAAAAACACAATAAAATATTATTTAAAAATTTACTGAGAACCCCAAAGAGCTTTTGTTTATATGGTTTTCTCCTGTTCTTATTTATCATGTTATATGTTGAAAGTGAGAAATAGAAAATTACTTTATTTTAAAATATCATTAATAAACCCATTGTAACTTTACATACGTAACATTTTTGTTAAAAAGCTACCTTAAAAAAAAAAACATAATGAGCAAAGTGGGATTTTACATTTAGTTTGCAAATCTCTCTAACATCTGGCATAGTAGCAGACAACTGGATTCTTATATCTGCTTTTGCCTGTAATCTATTATAATATCACATGTCATATAGTCTCTAGAATAATCTAGACTCTTATTTGTACACTTGTCAGCAAATAAGAGTGAATAAGGCAAACAATGTCTTAGTATGGGTTTGATCTGAAGGCTTTTGAAAGAGTCTCAGGACCACTGAAGAGTCTGCCTCCCCCACTTTGAGAACTGCTGGTCCAGACTAATTTAAAAAAAAAAAAAAGAAATGAAGAACTCCCATCTCCTGATTTTCTATTATCTGAAGATGAGAGGGCTGGAGGTGAGCAAAGAATCCAGGAAGCCAGTTTGGGTTTAAATATTTGCTGTTGATTGATGGCCTAAGAAATTGTCAAGAAGTCACTAAACTTTAGGTGAGATTTTTTTTTCAACTATAGTTTCAGAAAGTGAAGTTAAAATGTACAGTTGGTTAAAATTTTAATTCCAGATGATGGGACTGTTTCTATTATCCTCTCTTCTCCCACTAATTCTGAGTTGTGCTACTAAGGAAAACTTTCAAAAGAGCCATATGATGCATTCCATACCCCCCCCAAAAAATTAGATCTGCATTTTCCCTTCACTTTATCAAGTGAAGAATTGAGAGACAACGGGTGCTCCTTCCTTTTGTAGAGGTCTGTGATAGCTCTCCTATCTTGATGAAGTTACTGTGTTAAATCACAGTAGTTCTACTGCTACTCCTCAGAGTATATGAAAACATAGACTTGTCAAAAGATGGTCAGCCCAAATGATGTGGATGTTGTTTTCAGGTTGATTCTTAAATTGACAGCACATGGTTATTTTTTCCCCGTACTTTTGGATTTTGATCACAACACCCTTTTAACAGTCATTTACTCAATATGTAAGATATTCTGCTGGAAAAATTCTCATTTCAGAATACTTTTGGATTTGAAAATTATTATTTCTTCTCTATTTACTTTGTAACCAACTGCAATGTGTGCCTTGGATTATTTCGCTTATTATTAGTTGAGTTAAAATTATAGCTGTAAAATATTAAGAACATGTGAAGCACAATATTATGATTTAATATGCTTTTATTGGACCTAGAGCTAGTGCTCACGATTTTAACCTGTGCCAAGCAATGCAAAGCACAGAAATACTTTTGGAAATATTAGTAGATCTTTCCTCAGGGCCATTGCTTTCTGTCTGTGCCAAGAATAATTGTTCATGAGAGTAGTTTAAAAATAACAGTATTTCAAAATTAATATTTCTATGCTTATCATTCTGGATTTATGCTTATAAGTCGTGTAATTTAATTAGTTGTGTTCTATTGGTTTCTGTACACTTCATACTGTAATTCTGTTTTCAAATAAAAGTTAATTCTGCAGGTGAAAATACATGTTCTGCTTTTTTTCCCATCACACCCTGCTCCATGTTTGTTCTTGCAAAGCTGCTATAGCTACCACATTTACCATTAAAGAGCAAATTCTTTGTCACAAAGCATGCAGCTATGCAAGTTGTTTTGCAACCCAGAGTGTAATATAATTTCTCAAAACAACTTTACAGTCTCCAGGAAAATATAAAACCCTAGCAGACTGCAGGGAGACAGACTCAGAAGACTTCCTGGTTAGAAATGGAGATGTCTTTCAGCTTCTCCATGAGAATGCAGGGGATCAATGGTAGGTACGTTCCCAACACCTGTGATGACCTCTGGCTGGGACACATGGATATCGAAAGAAGCTTTCTGCTTTACCTGTATCTTTGTTTCTCAAGAAGCAGAAATAACCCATTTCTTTTCAGTGATGGCTCTCATTTTCATTGCTTGAAACATGCCTACATAGCTCACTTAAAGGCATGTTCACCTCCAGTGAGTGAAAGATGCTTTCAAAGAATGGTTGCCACGAATCTGCATATTCTCTTATGGTTTACCTTTGGTTCAGATGGTTTAGCTGATATATCTGGGCTTCATAGTGGCTACGGACAACGTTCCATTTGGTCATTTAAGTCATTCATTAATTCATCAAAAATTGAATGAATGGCTAGTGTGTGCCAGGCACCATGCTTTGTTGCTTTACAGTATAACCACACATCTCTCTTATCAGTTCAAATATTTACTAAAAAGTCTTATCATTCTGTGTTTATGCATTTGACTTTATATAGCACCCACTACAAAGGTTGTTCTCCAACTATAGTTCTTCAACTATAGTTTCAGAAAGTGAAGTTAAAATGTACAGTTGGTTAAAATTTTAATTCCAGATGATGGGACTGTTTCTATTATCCTCTCTTCTCCCACTAATTCCCTGAGTTGTGCTACTAAGGAAAACTTTCAAAAGAGCCGTACGATGCATTCCATACCCCCCCCCCAAAAAAATTAGATCTGTATTTTCCCTTCGCTTTATCAAGTGAAGAATTGAGAGGCAATAATAAGAATATTATTATATGCACATAATTCCTCCGAATTCCTAGTTTTAGCCTGTGTTTGATTCTAGGTAAGGGTGTATTGGGTTCAAATGAGTCTAGTAGATTAGGAATAACTAATCTGTTAAACACTGTTTAAGTATGGAAGAACCCAAAAAGGAAGGAAATACTCTTTGGAGGAGGACTTAAATGAACCTTTTTTTTTTTCCCCAGAAATTTAAATTGAAACAATTTTGTTGTCTTTCTGTCAATAACTTGAACTGAAATGCTGCAATGTCTGTGTACTCTAACGGAAAATGTGGAGGAATGTACACACTAGGGTAAAAATTAATGCTTGATCATTGATCATTAAAGTAATAACCATTTTTACTAGTGACCTAAGTCCTTTGTAGATCAGAGAATTCAAGCACAGTATCATGAAGGTCTTTAAATACATGTAGATGCTTTGTCAAAATTTGAGCTGCAATCTAATGTGTTTGCTTTTGATTACTTTAGTATTACCATTGTTGTCTACTAATTCATGTGTTATTTAGGTTGGTGAAAAATCTAAACAGAAGAAAAGAAGATTTGATTCCAGGGAAGAGTTTACAGATTTTAATTGGTGACTATAGTTTTCGGAGTGTGAAAGTACAGGTATAATATGAACAAACTGTATACTATTTGTTTAAAGATTAAGAAATTCAAAGTGTCACCAAATACTAACTTGATACGGGGTAAGAACCTGTCTTCTGCACTTAGAAGTAACCTGCAAGCGTATTATGCTAGCTAGGATTTATTTTTTGCCTTTCATAGTTGTAAATTCAGGAATAAAATTTTTTTAAAAAAATGTAGAACTTTTCCCTGTAAAGTTGATATGCTCAAAAGTGACTTCAGATACTATGGTGTCTTATAAGAGATCCTTCAGAGTTACATAATGAAGTTATGCTTTTAAGGTACCAGCATTACTGTTCCAGATGCTTTACCAGAGTGGGTTTTCACTCAGTCCTAAAAGCATGTTAATATCTTACGGCAGTGTTCTGCTACACACACACATACAAATGTGTTTGTGCTCAAGACTTATGTATGTGTGAAGGTAGTATGAAGTGACTGGAACTTACTTAATGTTTGTTTCCATGGCCCAACAACCCTTGGTACCTAAAATTGCTGTATACATACAAGTGTTCTTGTAG